TTTGCTGCCACTTGAGAACAGAATTCTCTCAAACATTAATCTAACCTTGATACAATTCTGTCAGTTTGTCGACTGTTATATTAAAATATATTTAATATATTTATTTATTATCTTAATATAATATATATATTAAAATATATCTAATATCTTAATGTAATATATATATTAAAATATTTATCTATTAATTATGTTAAGAAAGGCAAGTTTATAAACGCTCTTGTCCCTGTGTGCGAATCGCGAGAGAATTCACTTGAAACAGCACAAAAGATTGAAGCAATATTGCAGCAGTATTCAATCTTCTAGGCTGTATGGGACCTGTATATTATATAATCATACATTTATACAGATATTTAACCATTATTACATCCAACAGATATTTAATCATTACTATATCCTAATATTAATTCATTGTATTGCACCTGCTTTCAATTTTTCATTTGCTACGTTGTATTATCATGTATCATTATGATGTATCATTTGCTATGTTTGTATTACAAAGGCAATATAAATTCTCTTTGTTATTTTCTAAATAGAATATAACAGGTAGACGATTCTGAAAAATAGCAATGATCTGCGCGTAGTAGCAAGTCATTTTCTTTGTGCATTAAACGATATATATATATATATATATATACATATATATGTGTGTGTGTGTATATAAACACAAGGCAAGTCAGGTACTTTTATCCCGAAACACTTTTCTATCGTGTCGATGGGTTGAAGAAGAGAGATGAGTCATAAAAGGACACATGCAATTAATAGTAACCATATTACGACCATCGATATGGTATAGCTAGCGAGAAATATACATATATTGGAAGTACACGGAGAAAAAAAGTATCGACACAGTGTTATCGGTTAATATTTCTGGCGCTCGAAAGGAGATTAATTCACTCAAAACAATCGAGTGTTAATCAGCAAATTTTATCGAGAAAAAAAATTCGCCAGTTAATCCTCGGTCATTTTAGCAACAACAGCAAGACGCACAATCAATGAAAGTCTCGGGCGTCCTTTCTTCATATCGCCTTCCTATTTCGAAGACGCAAAAAATTCCCATTCTGAAAAATAGCAATGACTTGCGCGTAGTAGCAAGTCATTTTCTTTGTGCATTAAACGAGATATATATATATATACATATGTGTGTGTATATAAACACAAGGCAAGTTACCGTCAGGTACTTTTACTCTGAAACACTTTTCTATCGTGTCGACGGGCCGAAGAGAGATGAGTCATAAAAGGACACATACAATTAATAGTCGTAACCGGATTACGACTATCGATATGGTATAGCTAGCAGGAAATATATACATATATGAAAGTACACGGAAGAAAAGTATTGACATAATGTTATCAGTTAATACTCCTGGTGTTCGAAAGGAGATCGACTCGCTCGAAATAATCGACTAGCAAATTTTAATGTATCGAGAAAAAAAATTTGCTGGATCATTTTAGCAACAACAGACGCACCATCAATAAAAGCCTCTTGCCTATTTCGAAGCCGCAAAGAATTTCCATCGTATAATTTCAAAAGATGTGAATCCAGATGTCCAGAAAACAAGGAGTTGTCCGTTTGGTTCTCTTATTTTGCAAACCTAAAAATATATATTTATATAATGATGATATCATGATGTCCAATTGCACTTACCGTCGCTGATGATAGCAAGATGATAGCGCATCGGGAGCATGCTGCGACCAGTTTTCGAGTCATTATGCCTCTACTATGCGTTTTCTGTTACGCGGAATTTCTGTGTGTTATATTTTTATATACTTTTAGACTTTTCCAATATAAATATCAAAGGTAGCAATTTATTGATAGCATAGGCGCATCGTGGAATTTTTTTCGAGGGAGGGATGTCAATCAACCCAGGGATGTACCATGCACCAATCAGAATGATAACCAGAAAAAAAAAGATTTTGCTATTGTACTGAAAAGAATGTCACTGTACTAATTTTGTTGTTGTAATTTACAACAATTTTTAACATTAAAGAATTTCATTTTTACAACTTTTAATCTCCTTCTTATTTTGAAGAGGAAGAATGTTACATTTTGTATAACATCATGTAACTTTTACTTATTTTTTTTAAAACTTATTTTTTTAAAAACTTTTTTAAAAAAGAACAATATAGTTAGTACAAGAATGTATCAATTATAGCGTTTTTTGGAACAAAAATCTTACGAAAATTTTCCTTATATATCGCATATTTTTTGTCAAAGCTCGAACTAATAAAAATATTAAAACTTACTTATATAGTCTTCTAACAAGAAGAAAAAATATTTTATGTAACAGCAAAAAACATAAAATCAAAAATAAAGTTGTTTTTTTACATTTAAAAATTTGAAAGAGAGGAGTTCAATAGAGTATATACATCGCCAATTCAAAATAAAATATTTTCATTAATAAAGCAATGAAAAATTTATCCCGCTTCCTAGCACAAATACTACAATCCCTCACTGGAATGTCCGAATCACACATAATCAACTCAATTTCTCACTTTTCCCAATTATTGAAGATATTCCAATTAAAGATTTCCCTCTCTCCTTATCCATATTTTCTTCTTTCTCCGCACTACTCCAACAAGCATAGTAGCATAATATGAAAAGGAATGGCTCGAAGGAACAGCTCAGTATCAGGCTCTTTGCTCCGATGAAGTAGACTAAGGTTTACGAATCGCATTCCAAGAATGGATCTGGATACGAAGGAAACTGCGAAACGCATAATTTTAAAAAGCTTTATAAAACAATAGAAAACTATTAGATTCATACCAATCGATGAATGAATGTATGCTATCAGGATGTGCGCTAACGAGACTCTCTCAAAATGAAATAATTAATAAAAAATTTTGGTGGGGGTTTAAACTCTTCCCTCCTCCCTGGATACGCCCATGATTGGTAGCAATTTTGCTATCAAATAATTATTGAAAAAAAACACATCCAGAAAAAACTAAATGATTTTTAGAAACTGTGTATAATAAACATACATTTATAAATGTGTATGTGTGCTGCATTACGCAGAACTCATTTCCATAAATCGCATGGAGTGTAATTACGAATTTGCGTAACTAATAAATTGCTACTTTGATATTTCTATTGGAATAGTTTGAATATAAAAATATGATGATATTGGTTATCATATATGCCAAATTTGATGGGACATATTGTAATTGAATTTCGCGTAACAGAAAACATAGAACCGTAATGATTCGAAATATGCATAATGGCTTCTAATAGATGACATGATACATGTTACATGAAAAATCTGTCATGGGATGGCATCCTAAAACTTAAGAGTGCGTGAGCGTCTAAAGTGAGCACAGCTCATACGCACTATATGCAAAAGCAACCTATCTACCTAAGCATCGAAATACGCTTAGATATACTTGTTTTTACAAAGATATTAATCTCATGTTGTATACAATAATATGTATACAATAATAGCTATGAGAATTTACAAATGTAAATTTACAATGTTCGCTACAAGTTTTCCTATTTTAAACTAAATTTCTTTTACGTTATCCTTCTCGCTTATGCCTTGTTAAAATAAATAAATTAGATATACGCAAACATATCTACATATTCAATAATTAAAAGATGAATGATTAAGAATATGAAAAAGAATTATTAAAAATGAATAAAAAAAAATGTGCATCATCTTATTGCAATTAATCTGATCCATACTCATTTATTTTTTATTGAATATGTACATGTGTAAAATGCAAGACTCAAGCAATACGCTTATTTTCAATCTCTTACTATTTCTTGAAATTCTTTAAAATTTTTATATATTTCATATATTTTACATATTTTATATATATTTATATATTTATTATATGTAAGTACATAATATTTGATTGTATATATGATAGAGCTATTATTATTATTATGTGAATACATATATGATATAAATTATCAAATATATATAACATGGCTATTTCAAATCAAGGTATATGAAAATATATATTTTTACTTTGATTCGAAATAGATATGTCATATACATATATTATAAAAAAAACAACCAATGAACATATATATAATACATTCTAAAAATTTATTTTTTTAAATTTTTATTTTTTATAGACAAAAACATATGAAAGAAAGAAAAAAATAAAAAGAAGAGAAAAAGAGGAAAAAAAGAAAAAGAGTGGGAATAGTTATTGATAAATTATATGTCTTTATATATTTTAATTGGAAATTACTATTGAATTCTCTACTTAAGACCATTATAAATCAAGAAAAAAGTTCTATTATAAGACAATCGCCTGATTTATATATATATATATATCGTATCCTATTTCATCTGAAATTGAATAAAGTTTTTTTTCAATAATTTCGAATTCTTATTAGTAGTTCTGATCATGCCATGTATATTTCAATTGGTCAAAAAGTTTTCTTTTGCGGTAGGTAAAATCATTTCCATCAGACGTACCTCAGAAATTTCGAGCAGTTTCAAAACCGTTTTTTATACTTAACAAGATAACAAATGCGTAGTACAAAACAACGCATTAAGCGAGAAGGATGATGTTATAATAAAAGCGAAGGATGATATTAACCGAAACTCGTCATCTCATATTACATAGTTATATTACATCTCATATTACCTGAATGAATTGACGTCTCTATTTATTTCGGAGAAATCACGAAACTGTTCTTCATAGATGCGCCATCTAGTTAGCATTAAACATGGAGGCGTTAATGTAGGATCCTGTTTTGTATAATATTTTTCAAAATTTAAGGCTTCTTTTTCATCTCCCTAAAAATTTCGAGAAGCAATTGTGTAATACTATCCTGTATTATTTAGTATTTATCAATTAGAATAATAAAGTGCAAGACTCACTATAGGTATAAATGGAGGTGTTATTTGACGTGCTTCGAGTGCTTCCCAATTGAGATTTTTGAAGAATGGCTGGGCCTTTATTGCATTTTCACCACCTTCGGCTGTGACACAGCCTAACCTCAAATTAGGTTTTTTTGTCAAGAAGGCTTTTATGATGGCTGTTGCTTCTGAAGAAATCCATGTATCCATTTTTAACTCCTTGTATAAAATAATGTCTTTTAACTCATTAAAGATTTGTAAGTTGGATTTATTATACATGTTTGTAACTACAAAAGGTAATTTTCCAAGTATCAAAGTGTGCATGATTACACCCAATGCCCACCAATCAACACCAGCATTATACGACTTTTGATTAAAGATCTCTGGGGGAGCGTATTCAGGCGCCCCCCAGTATGGTAACGATGGACATTTTCGATTTCCAAGTTTACACATTCCGAAGTCCGCAATCTTGCAGTGACCTAAACGGTCTATCAATATATTGTCCATTTTTAAGTCACGGTGTATAATGTGATGTTTATGCAGAAACTGAAGTCCAAGTGTCACTTCTGCTGCATAGAAACGTGCCCACAGTTCTCCGAGCGGATATGGAGAAAGTTTATCATAATGGTATTGCAAATCACCTGAAATAAATCAAGAGATAATAGAAGTATTCAAATAAATAGTATTTCATATTTTATTATAAAATGCAATTATTACCGCCACTCATATATTCCATAATGAATCCTACATGAGAGTCGGTGTGAAAACATCCTATTAGTTGAATTAAAAAAGGATGTTCTGTTGCAAGGATTAAAACGTTCTTTTCCATCATAATATGTTCTATATCTTCTTTGTCTCTGATTTCACTCTTTTTTAAGAGTTTTACGCTATAAATTTCATCGGGATTACTATTCAGTTCAGCTAACATCACTTTACCGAAACCGCCTCTACCAAGAACCTTAATAAATTTAAGATCATCTATATCAATTTTTTTATCATATCTATTTTTGTTAAATGAGCTTTTTAGTTGCGAGTCATCTTTGGAGCTAGTTGGATCTCTTTGACTCAATTGTCAATCAACAACTTTAACGTTAGTTGAGTTGTTCCAACTTGCGCCCGATTTGCTTGTCTGAGCATCTCTTGAAGATGTTTTTGTTTTTGACTTGTACTTCGACGCATCCCAGTGTTTCTTAAATTTGATTACTTTTTGATTTTTTGTCTCCTCTTCCTCAATTGTCTCAAAACTTGTACGAGGCACAGCTATTGGTATTATTATGTTACTTTTTGAAATTTCTCCATTTTTCTCAATTACATTAATGTTTTGTGGAGTTCTTTCTTCTTCTTCAACCTAATTGAAAAAATTTTTTAAATTACCATTATAAAATCATCATCATTACAAAAATTTTTCACCGTTTTTAGATCTCATATAGACCGTTTTTAGCCCGTTCCTATCCTTTTCTTGCGCTCACAAGCACTCGTGGTGTATCACGAGAGACGATAACGAGTATACATGAGTATGATCATGAGTATTTTTGAGTGAATTGTCCGTTTTCAATATTCGTTTTTTCGCTATGAATATTTTAGAGTGGATTGTTCACTTTTAATACTCATTTTTCCGTTGAAAGTATTTTTTAGTGAATTGTCCGTTTTTCAGTTGGTAAGTGAGAACACGTTAATACATTCCTCTTTTAATAATTATTTATTTATCGCGTTTATTAATTATTACATTAATTTTATATTAAACGATTAAAAAGTATTTTATTTTAGTATAATAATTTTTAAATATTTCATACAATATCTAATAAATTGAAATGGAATTCAAACAGTAAAGTAACTTCGATATTTATATACTTCTCGCCAAAATTTACCCTACAGAAATCAGAAAGAAGGATTGAAATAATTTGCAGGCAACCAATCTATTATATACGCCTTTATGTTACATTAGTATTATAATTTTAATTTTACTGTAATATTGATAATATTATTATGTCAATTGAATCGATTTGTCAATGTAATAAATAGCCTCCATTGTATAACATTCATTACTATATTTTTACTATAATATACATGACGTAATCTATAGCTTAGAATTATCTGGACATAGTCTTGTTTAGAATATACGGAATTTGTAGCGAATCGGATTTATGCCTAAAACGCATACACAGGGGATTTTGGATTAAATATATTAAATTCAATGCATTACATATTAAAATATACTTCCTTACATCATAACTATCGTAATGAATACAAGATTAAAATTATTATCTATTATTTTTAATATATTATATATTCACTATTTATATTCCTTAATAAAACTTTGTAAACATAATAAATTACTGCGTCATTTTACATTGTATTTCCAACTATTATTTATAAATATTTTATGAGTCGTATATTCTGAGATCTGTGTGTGTGTGTGTGTGTGTGTGTGTGTGTGTGTGTATATATGTGTGTTCTGCTTACTTATGTACATCTTACAAAAATAATTATATTTAATACATTGTATACAAATATATGTAATGTTATACAGATATAGGTATATATACACGCACAAACGGTACATATGTATATGTACATATATATAGTATATGATGATATTAGGGTAACTTCGATATGTATGTCGCATTTATTAAAAATTTACTTTATCAAGTATTGTTAATTATGTTTAAGAATAAATATATTATTCTGATAAAAACATTTACTAAAAAGAAATTAGAAATAAGAAATATTTAGTTTTCATGTAAAATTAAATATGATATAAAAGAAACTTTTAAAAATTTTTGCATTTTTACCGCATTTTATTTTACACACACACACACACACACGCGCGCGCACACACATAGAGAGATCTTAAAATAGGTTCATAAAAAAATATTTACAAATAATTAGAAATACAATGTAAAATTATTTTTAAATGCAGTAATTTATTAATTGTTTTTACAAAGTTTTATTGAGGAATATGAATGATGAATATATAATATACAATACTAAAAATAATAGATAATAATTCTAATCTTGCATTCATTACGATAGTTATGATGTGAGGAGGTATGATATGTTTTATGTAACGCATTGAATTTAATATACTTAATCCAAACTGTGTATGCATTTTGAGCATAAATCCGACTCGCTAAAAATTCCGTATATTCTAAACAGGTCTGCCTCCAGATAATTCTAAGCTATAAATTACGTCACGTATATTATAACAAAAATGCATCCTAGAGTTATCTAGATAAACATAATTCCTGAACGCAATCTTCATGAAGATATATCACATCAAGCTAAATGGAGAATGAAATTAAGTACTTGTATTTTGCTATACTTCGTTCTTTATCATCTCTCTATATTTCTGTATTACCAAATAAAAATTTTTTCTATTCCCTATAATAATGATTTAATGTGAGTTATATGATAAGGTTGCGCTACTTATTATATTAACAAATCGATTCAACTGATATAATAGTACAATATTAATAGATATTATTAATATTGTAAAAAATTAAAATTAATAATACTAATTTAACAAAGGCGTATGTAATATATTGCCAGGTTGCCTGCAAATTATTTCAATTCCTTCTTTCTGATTTTTATAGTGTAAATCTTGGCGCGTAGCGTATATAAATATTGAAGTTATTGAATTCCATTTCAATTTATTAGATATTGTATGAAATATTTAAAAATTATTATATATATAAATATTAAAATAAAATACTTTTTAATCGTTTAATGTAAAATTGATTGATTGATAATTAATAATCGCGGTAAATAAATAATTATTAAAAGAGGGACATATTAACGTGTTCTTACTTACCAATTGAAAAACGGACAATCCACTCAAAAATATTTCCAACGAAAAAATGAGTATTGAAAATGAACAATCCACTCAAAAATATTCATAGCGGAAAAACGAATATTGAAAATGGACAATTCACTCAAAAATATTCATACTCATTTATACTCATTCTTCGTTATCATTCTTCGTGATATACCGCGAGTGCTTGTGAATGCAAGAAAAGGATAAAAACGGACTAAAAACGGTTTAAAAATGATCCATTTGAGATCTAAAAGCGATGAAAAATTTTTATAAGGGGTACTCATTGAATAAAATGCACCTCTCAAATTAACCGTTCACGAGGGGGAAAAACGAGCTAAAAACGGTAAAAAATTTTTATAAGGGTACAATTTTAAAAAGTAATAATAAATTCAGTTATTATTTAGTATAAGAGACTACTCTCCAATGATTCATATGTTGTCATGCCTCATAACTTTGAAAATTTTGATTATCGCTCGTTGTTTGTTAAAAAGTTGATAAAAAAAGCTCATTGAAAAAATGTAGTTTTTAAGCAAAGAATTTGTTTGTAAAGCGGACATTCCCAGAAAAAGAATCAAATATATCATCACACACAACGATTGACTGGACTAACTTTTGCAGAGAGGAGTAATTCATGTAATTTAATAACTTGATAAAATTACATAAATGGAGAACAATGTCAATTATTTGTAAAGCAGGAAATTTATGTTTTGGAAGTAAAATATTTGTATTTTTTGAAACAGTAAACTTGTTTACTTATTTAAAAATTCTCTACTTTAATAAATATTTAATTACAATCTGGCTTCTCAGCTCATGAATCAATGGTTAACAAACAACCAAAATTAAATTGGCAGAGAAGGAATTATTGTCGAAATCAATGAGGCAAAATCATATAAGAAAAATTATATAAGAAATTATATAAGAAAATATTTTGCGCTGTTAAAGCAGGGAATTTGTTTTATCGGAGTGCAGTCGCGTCCAAAAGTTAGATTTTATTGATAAACTTTTTTTATTAATAATTTTTTAAGAAACAACGAGCGATGACTAACATTTGTCCAAAGTCACTCGGGGTCATGATCTTGATAATATATATCAAGGTTAAGAAATCATTGGAGAGAGTAATTCCTTATACTAAACAATTAATGAAATAACTAGTAAATACCTTTATTTCAAACTTTTTACACCTTGGTATCATAGACAAATCTAGACATTTCTTGTGCACGGACCGCGTGCATGCTAAAACAATACAAAATACATAAAGTATCTTCTTATAAAAATGCTTGCTTCCAAGATGTAATACAGTACGTCCAAAGCTATAGCTGCATGCGTGATAAGACATATCCGAAAATTATTTACTGTAATATCATAAGCAGAAATAAAATTGAAATTCACTTAATATTATTCTCAATATAAAATTAGCAGTAGTTTCGATATTAAAAATATTACCAAGATAGCACATTTGGAATTTTTATTGAAGGACGTGTGACAAATCGAGAAATTATTTAGCTACAAATCTAAATTATATCGAAATGAAATAAAATCAGGAGAGATAGATACCTAATACATTAAAAATCAAAAATCTTTACATTATTAATGTAGCAATAAGTTAAGTAATAAAATATTTAATCATGAAGCAGATTAACCAAGGCGATCGTGTACTGATCGTGGTGAATAAAAAATGCATAAATTGACGCGACAATTATAAGACGTCGTAGTAGTTAAGAATGAACCATTAAAAAAGTAAAACATTAAATCGATGAAATAAGAATCTTAATCGTGATTTTTCTCGTTGTTAAAACTCGCAAGCACACATTCGTAACTGCACACATTTATATACATAAGGATGCAGCAAGTAGATACACAATTATAATCTGTTAATAATCTTCTCACCTTCGCATTTATATCCTTTTTTTATGCCCCTGAAATATAATAGATAAAACACATCATATCCTCATAATCCCTCCTAAGACATATATGTTTACTTTCTCCAATCATACTTATCATCATGCTAGATTTCTTGATTTTTAGATGATTAATGACTTGATAAGAGATTGATGAGAAAGATGATTGATTATTATATATAATTAGAACAGTTCTAATTGGCAATATTTTTAAATAAACAAATAATTTGTAAAATAGAAGGTTAAATCATATCTATGAAAGTGATTTGATTAATCTTTCTCATCGCTTATGAGGATATGATATTGTACCTGTAAATGTTCCAACACCTAAATATCTGAAATAGATTTAGTAAAGTAGTTATATAAAACATATACTTTTGTAAAATCCAAGCAGATAATCCTGTTTAAAAAAAACCTGTTTAAAACGGAGAAAATCCCAAAAAGTGTTTGTGTAGAATACATCCTAGTAACAATACCAAGTTTATTTATTCTAATCTAGGTACTAGAATCTTTTGAATTAAATTATTTATCATAATCCAATCTCCAATGCAAACCAATATTACATACTAGCTAATAAATATCCTTTCTTGACATTACTAATGCAGATAACGAGCAAAGACTAAATACCCAATGCATACAATCCTACATTTTGCAAATTTTTAATTGATTAATTCGAAGTGTATTATTAACTAAATTTTAACGTATTTTTAAATGTAATTACGGGTGAAATATACATCAGTTTAAGCATGCTTCCATTTAAACATTTTCCAAATATTTTGAAGTAGCATGTACTCTGCTATCAAAGATAGCGATCGGGTAAGAAATATTGTATGCAGAATCTTAATCGTTTTTCTACAATGTGCTTTTTGTTTTCTTGCTTTTTGCTATTTTTTACATCTTGTCTTTTTGCTTCTTATCCGGTTTTTTATTTTATATCGCCTGAGATAAAAGTTAACGAACTTTGGAAGAAATAGAAAACACGTAGCAAAAAATAAATTTGTTAATAAAACGGTTGCAAAAAGGAAAAAAGCAAGAGATAAAAAGTAGAGACAGAAACTAAAGAGCACATTGTAGAATAGGCTTGAAACAAAAGCAATGTTTTTCCATAGACATACATACCAAATTACAGTCCTGCATGATAAATTCATGCATTTAAGTGCAGGACGTCTCGTAGCCTTAAATTTATGTCCGTTTATTATTTCTTTTTCTTCTTCTTTTTCATGCTGTTTTCTATGCTCTTTTCCATGCTCTTTTCGATGCTCTTTTCCATGCTCTTTTCCATGCTCCTTTCCATGCTCTTTTCCTTGCTCTTTTCCATGCTGTTTTCCATGCTCTTTTCCATGCTCTTTTCCATGCTCTTTTCCATGGTCTTTCTTAGCCTTGTCCTTATTAGCCTTTATTAGCTTAGCTGCTTCAATAGACTTCTCATGGAAATTTGGTAGTACTAAAATATTAAATCAAGTTCGAGTCAGTATCGAATCATGTATACTTACAAAATAATGAGATTTTTCTTACTTCGTGAATGCGACATTGTTATTATTAGTCGCAACCTTCCCTAAGGAAGATCTAGCCAACCTGCAACAATTAATTTTTATTGTTAATTAGATAGTCCTAAAAATGCACACTACATCTTCATAGCATACTCTATACACAGTTCTCTCAAATTTATTTAAATATTGTGCATAATTCTAACATGAATGCAAAGGACCTAGCCGAATAAGCATATGGAAAATGCCTCCGAATCAAATCCAATTTTGAGTACATTGTTACATTGTTAAGCTTGATAAAAGATTATTTTATATCAACTTTTAACCTGCTAAACTTATTCATATAGTGAAAAATCAATTTCAATTTTTATTTTCCTATGGTGTGAATTAAAAAATCTGAAAAAATTGACACATTTTTTTAGCACCATATTACATTAAAAAAAAATTTTTTCAGATTTTTGAAAAATTTGAATTAAAAAAAATTTTTTTTAATGCATGTTTTTTATGGAAAATATTTAAATACCGTCTTCAAAAAATTATGGTGAATTAATCATTCCCTGATGAATGAAATATGTCGTTCAGATTTTTAAAGGTGTGAAGCATTGTTTCAAAAATTAAAAAGTTTTTAAAATTTAATTAAATTTTTCATAAAAAGGGGGAAGAGAAATAAGACGGAAAGAGAAAGGAGAGTGTGCTTCTCTTCGTACAACTTTCTTTTTTGTTAAATATATTTTACCACACACAATATACAAAAGTACGTGAATAAATGATTAAAAATGGACTGTAAGTCTATAAAGATTTTTATCATCAGGCTAACATCGAGAAAGATAAATATCTGCTAGAAATGTAAACGCTGATATAAGGAATGTTCCTGATCAAAATGATATACTGCAGTAGAAGTAAATATTTTAATTGTGATATCCATTGTACATATAACAGTTCTTCTCGTGCGTGCAGGAAAACTTATCAATTTTAATTTTACCAAAGTTGTCATTCAGAATAGTTTTTAAAAGATTTAATTTAATACTGAAGGTATTCATAAACGATAAATCTTTAATCCCCAAGAATAGTACTCTCATCAAATGTAGTACCTTACGCGCATTCGTGCGTAAAAGCTTTCGTATAAGAATTTCAAATATCAACGTTACTCAGCCACAGGTTTGTCAAGGCATCGATTTTACGTAGCTCAACGTAAAAGCGTCTGTCAGCTTTTATTACTGTGCTGTCATCATGGTGGGGACATCGCTCGAAAAAAATCCCTCCTTCTCTAGAAAGGGCGTGTCGTTCTGTAAAATCGGAAACTGAGTATATCTTAGCGACCCTTTTCAGTATCCCACTCTGTTTAAAATTACTGCTTTGACCTTGTCGCTAGTAGAAGCGACATTTTAACGACTTCCACTACTCGAGTGTAGCATAATAACATCGAAGGCTTCGTAAGGATGCGTCTCGGGTATAGATACGCATACATTAATACATACCTATATGCACGGCGAGTATTCATGAGCACAAAATTGGCTGAATAGAGGATGCCTTGTATGAGAATATTTACTAAACGTTTTATGGTCAACGGAGATATACCCATAAGAACACATATTTCCTTCTACCAAGAAGAAATGACTTTGCAATATTTCCTCCGAACTTTTGATTTAATAAATAATTGGGACAATAGACATAGTGCAGTGACAATGTGAAGACACGCTTGCATTATGTTCTACAAAAGAATTTCGGATAAGAAACTCATGGAACTGTTCAATTTCGTTGCGTTTATCTCATTTTATCTGCAGCGAAAGCATTACTCTGCATTGCGAATGAGGTCAGTAGTAAAATTATTCGATGCAAAAGTATGCGTCACGCAAGACGAATAGTGCGCAGAAGGAAATTAGGCTTTCACGTTAATGAAATATCGTTGTTTAACAAACGGTAACACTTAGCGAGGCGGGATGTGCGCATCAGTAGAGGATTTACGGTTTTACAGCGGAAAATGATTGGATGAGATTGACAGCAACCCTTGCTCGGAAATATAAGGTTTTCTGAGAACTTATTTTGTTAGCAAATAAACGAAAGAAAATTAAAAACTTTTTGCTTTCTTTTAAATTAAGAGATGTTCTTAAAATATCTGCTCTACGTTTCAGAAAAGACATCGATATTTCTTATCACATTCTGGAATCACGAACGATACTACAGATTTGTAAATTCAATTTCCTTTCATTAAATTTTTAGTGATGGTATATAGTGGATGATACATTTGACATCTATTTCCGATGATTTTCTTGTTGTAAAATATGAATTTCGTCCCATCAATAATTTTAAGACGTCATCATTAAAGTCAATACGACGATTTGTTCCTATATATTTATAATTCATTCTTCAACTATAATTATATCTCTGAAACAAACCGCAATCTGTTGTCAATCTGTTATGACACTCTCACCATATACACTAACACACTATAAATTTTTTGAGCATTGAATTGAGTATCTATGCATTGAATTGAGCAGTGAATTGAGTATCTTGCATTATTTTTTTATTCGCATTAAATTCGCCAAAAATTATTGCGTAACACATATATGTATATATACTTTGAAATTGTTCATTTTAACAATTTGCTCTTATAATTTTCTAATAATGTGTCCAATTATAATACTAATTTACAACTAAGAGACTTTATTATTAGATAAATGTAAAAATTATTAAGTAAAATTAAATTAATAAGGAGTTTTTTGAAAAGAAAAAAATTGTCATTTGTAGCTGAAATTATTTACATATGAATCAATCGATAAGTATAAAGAGAGGAGTTTATATTATTCCAGTATTCGTCTTACAACGATTCAATATTTCGGGATGAATGATCGAATTATCTGATATTGGAAAATTATGTATTATTTACTATATTGCGTTACGACGTAAAATGACTTTATATTCAAAGAAACGTATTACTAAATATTTTTGTCAGTTGTTTTAAAGAATCCATATAAGGTCTTCTGAAAAACACAGATTGCTATTATTGGAAGATTACTTGAGGAATTATTGATATTTTATATAATACAATACACATACTATATAATACAAATGTAATGCCGTATAAAACTACGTCGATGAAGCGATCTATTTGATTGTCTCATATATCTTGTTACAATTTTAAATAACTTCATACTCTTAAATTAATTTTAATTAATATAGGAATTTTAAATATTGTTGCTTAAGAAATTAATCCTACACTAGTCTCCTTCGGTTCAACGTTTGGTTAATGCTCTTATGATCCTTTGATGTCGTTACACTTTTCGCTTAATGCAATGGAATTAGAAGCGCAGTGATGCAAGATATTATAAAGAAAGTGATACCATGCCATTCACAATCTCCAATTTCTTGTTCTTGAAAGAGAGGAAAACTGGAACAGGGTCTTATTTGTGAAAAGGAGCGCGTGGGCGTTAGAGAATTGCGAGAGAATTAAATTCCATCGGAATGAATTGTTCATGTTTCAGGCGCAAAGATAATATACTCCCGATGGAATGCGCCCGCCATTCAGAAATAAGTCAAATGTTTCAAGTAAAATAATTGAAAGTGAAACTTACATGTGTATATTGCCTCCATTCCTCTTTCTAATTTACAAAATTATTGTGAAACTTTTGATCATATTCGATAACAAAAGAACACGCACATATTATCGATCTTGTTGTTGTCATTAAAATTTCTGTGAAATCGCTTGTTTATTTACATATTGATGAAGTGTCACTTCAATGTGCCGCTTGAAGTAGCATGTTATACGTGGAGTGTCATTTAGCAAGTCTATTGGAAGAGCGACAAGTACTTTAAACTTTCATTTTTACTATATCAATCATATCCAAGATTAATTTTCTATACCTGTCTTATTTTTGCGCTTAAATCTTTTTTACCCACTTTACATCTTTTTTTACTTTCGAACAAAGCAAATTAAATATATAAAGACACTTTTAAACAAAATTTAATATTTTAATTTTTTTCTTTCATAGTAAAAAACAAGTACGATGTTAGAAATAGATATTTTCTGTTTTAAATAAAATTCATGCAAATATGTGATATCTTAATATACGAGATTCTTAAATGAATTTCACAATGAAACAAAAAGTTATGCAAAAGAGAATTGAAATGCGTGGGCCGAAGAAACGTAGCTCTTTGTTTCATATTTGCAAAGCTGCATGAAATTATAAAGAAATAAAAATTACACAAACGAACCATAAGATCTTTTTTCCTTTGTTAAAACTCTTTTGTTTTTCTCGAGTAGTAGCGATGTTAGTGTGGTCAAACATGCAAACAGACGCGTCAATGATTTTCATTCGCAATATTTTATCATACAATGTAAACCAAAATATTTTATCTTACTCATATTATTATGTTACAATAACGACATAAAAATTAATTTAGTCATATGAACATAATTAACTTAAAAATATCATAAAGGAACATTGATTGTCTGTTAGCATTTAAATATAAATTTAAAATTCGTTATAATTATAAAAAATCAGTAAAAATTTAATAAAGAAAAGCATATGACATATTATCTAATTAATGGTATATTCATAATAGTCGAAATATCTGAGTAATGCTATACTAATCGCTAATTCTTTTCTGCTTTCTAAGTCTACATGAGATTAATATGTATAACCGAACTTCATTTAGTAAAGGAATTACAAAGGAAAGTTACAAGGAACTTTGAATGAAAAAAGCAACAAAAAAAATGGAAGTTCGACGAGCAGATATTGATTTTATCTTTAGATGTCGCTTTTGAGAAAACGAAAGAAATTAATCATAATAGCTCGTAAATATCTAAATATACACTCGTCAATAAAATTATCATATAAATAAATTTACATTAAAATTTCGCATAAATTCAAACGGAACTCCGCGAAAAATGGTCGCATTTAAAAGTTTTTTTTTTCATTTTCAAGAATAAAGTGTACTTTACGAAACTTTCAATGTGTTAAATTGCTAGTCAATTATCTCGTGGTAGTTTACTATGGTAGTTTAGTAGAGTTAGTATTTCAAGACTAAAAAACCATTTCAACGCGCGTTTCAAAGAACTACATAAGTAATATATAAATTCATACGAAATCATATAAGCATTTAAGATCGTTTAAAGCATTTATATAATTTTATTTAATTTGTAAGAGAAAAGTCCTTTATGATGATTATAATGACATTTGCAAAAAAAAAAAATTCATTCGAAGACGAGGAAATACATAATTTATTCCACCCCGTAGAGTGCGTCAAATTGTATGTAAATTTTTTAAAAATAAAACATGTCCTTTTTTTGGAAAGATGCCAGCTAAAGATAAGGATAGATTCAAAAAGATAATACTGAGTGACACATTAAAGTCTGTAAATAATTAATTCTTATTGCAAAAAAATAGTACTTCGGCCGGGAGTAGAACTCGGATCTCTTACTTTCCGGACGAACGTCCTAAGCCTTTCGAGGAATATTTTTAAATTTATTTTTATAATTAAAGGCCTCGATGGTCCAAAGGCTTAGGACGCTTGTCCGCAAGAGATCCGAATTCGACTTCTGATCGAGGTAATATTTTTCGCAATAAGAATTAATTATTTACAGATTTTAATATGTCTTAGCATTATTAAGATCATTCCAAGATACGAATAGCGTCAAATAAAATTGCTAGTCAATTTAACTCGTGATATTACTATGATAGTTTAGTAGTTTTTCAGTCTTGAAATGCTCTAGTAGAAAAACTCTAGTAGAGTTAAAAATCATTTTGGCGCACGCGTTTCAAAGGATTACATAATACATAGGTAATATATAAATTTATGCAGAATTCTACAAGTATTTAAGATCCAGTTAAATCGTTTAAGGCATTGATTTAATTTTTTTTAATTTGTAAGAGAAAAATCCATACTTTACGATGGTTATCATGACAGTTACGAAAAAAATTTACTCCACTCGGTAAAGTGCTTCAAATTATGTAAATTTCGTAAAAAGAACATGTTCCTATTTTTGAAAAAATGTTAAGTAAGGATAAGGATGATTCAAAATCCATTGAAAGTTTGTAAAATACACAGGCTTTACTTTTAAAAATGAAAAAAAAATTTTTAAATGCGACCATTTTTTGCAGAATTACGTTTATTGGAATTTATGTTAGGCGTATAATATATATATATAACAAGAATATTTGTTATTTTTGTTATGTAGTATACAAATATGTAATATTTTTTGAACATATTAACATGTTGACATTACAACTGCCGATAAACTGTACGTCCGAGTAAAAACCTGATGCGTTCTCGCAAGCGACATTTCATTAAAGATACTAGTTCAAACCTTCATCTCTATCAGGTGCTTCCTTAGGAGAGAGAAAGAAAGTTTTGCAGGGATGAGAGAAAGAGTAAGAGTGTGCGTGCGTGTGTGGTGTGTGTGTGTTTTGTGTGTGTGT